AAAGCAAATTCAAATTAGACATTGATACAAGCTGTAGCTTTTGTAAAACTTCCAAGGAATCTACTATACATCTTTTTTGGTTTTGTAACCTTGTACAAGATTTTTGGCAGAGTTTATGTGTTTTTATTTCAGAAAATATATTTAAAGGATTTGTACTGTTTTGGAAATTTGTCTACACAAAAACCAAAAACAATTCAACTTTGATAACAGATATATGATTAACTTGTTAATTTTAATGGCTAAATTTCATATTCATAAGTCCAAATGTTTAGGAAGACATCCCTCTTTTTATGTATTCTCCTTTGAACTTGAACAGTATCTTAACTCAATTAAGAACTCCACTAACCCAAAAGCTATAAAAACTATTGTTTGTGAAAAAATCAAGATCTTTCAATCACTTTATTCTTTGGCTTGATCAGTTACTTTCCCCCTAACATATTTATATTGTTGTTTCTGAATACTGTTCTTGTATTTGTTTATCTATGCATACAATTCTTTTGTAAGTACAACACCATTATTGTGGTACTGTTTAATTCCATTTTGTATTGTACTGATGTTTAAATAAAGGTTTGGAAAAAAAAAAATTCAGGCCGCATCCTCTCGAGGCCACATTTGTAGGCCAATTATGTCACAGCGACGTGACGAAGGCTGTCCAAATTCGAAGACTCCTCCAAATGAGGCCGACAAATGCGTCCTTCATGTCCCCAGATTTGAAGGATGGGTCGGGAGCATCCTTCATGGCAGGGGACATGGCAGTAGCTGGGCAGCTACTGAGTTTTAATATTACTCTTATTGCTCTTTCTGGGTCACAGAATAAACGTTTAACATATTTTCAGGCGAGAATGTAGCTGTGAAGAGTTGATAGCAAGGAGCAGACGGCTGAGTTTATTAAACCGAAACAATCTGCAAATTTCATTAAAGGTTTATTAAACCATCATCTTGTCTTTATTTTTAGTTAGCACATACCTGAAACACTTCACGCTGTAAGCTAATGATAGTATGATATGATAGATATAAGAGCAGATGCTGCTGGTGCAATAAGCTGCACGTTTTACGTCCAGTGGATCCATGATCTGATTAGTCGACTATCAAAATAATCATTTGTGGCAGCCCTAGCTGGCAGCTTGTTCAGTTCTGTTGATGTAAAATATTTTGTTCCCCATCTTGTCCAATCATATGTTGCGTTGAATCACGACAGAGGTATGATTACAGGCTCTTGTTCAGTAATGAAGGAGAGTCTCTCATTTACCCACCATTCACTCACCGACTCCTGTCATGATCTTCCTTCCTTTTAGGGACGTATACATCCAGTCCTGGTTTTTTTCCAGACAATTGCCCTCACAGCCCAACCACACACGGCTCGCTGGGCCTCGCCGGCCATCATCAACAACGAAAGCATCTTTCAAATCACGAGGCAAGCGAAGGAACAAAAAGAGCTAACGTATGTGGTGAGGGAAGGGAACAGTCTGTAGCTTCTGTAGCAATCAAAGCTTCATGCTCTCCTACACAACTGGAAATAATGGTGGTGATGTGTTTAGAAAAAGGCAATAAGCCGTGTCTGAGATATTAAAGGTTGACTTATATATGTAGCACAGAAAACCCCACAGCAATCCACTTTATCAACAAAGAGACAGCAGTAAATGTCATGCTATCTGCTTTTACTTTTTCTATCTTGAGAAAGACAATCCATCCTACGAGGCCCCGTCTGTACATTCTGATCATGTCTAATGTCAGAGGGCTGTTGCTTTATCTCAGCATGCACAGAGGCAGGCGAGTTTCTTCAGCAGACCACATCTCTGTTGCGTACGCACTGTTGTACATTAGCGAGCACGTATACAGCTGTGAACATCTGCTAAGTGTAATTATTTAATTTAGACGTACGTAATCAGGTCCTTCATCTTCCTCTGCAACAAGCAGAGCAGCTACGAGAAGCCTACATGATACACGACCTCTTGCAGGCGAGGGCATAAATAATTGTTGCGCGCTGTGGACAATTTATACACAGATGTCACTGCCAAAACTATAAAGTCCTAATTATGCCCGATAACTCACACTGATGAGGAACCTGGGCTGAATGTTAATAATTTAGTTGTGCTACCTTTTTCAGCTGCGTTACAGCGTCGCGATCATTTACAAAGACACATCTATGTCACAGTACTGCGAACGTGCTGCTGCGTTTCTTTATTAAAGATAATATATGTTTGTAAATAACAATGCCCCAGAGATTATACATAAACCAATCAGATGTGAAAGATAAATGAAGGTTTGCACGACTGTGCTGGGATGGGAAAAGCGGATTCTTCATATCCGTCTGCATGCAGCACTTGCAATAATCCCACCAAGTAATTGCTTTGTGATCGCTGTTTTTGTTTTAAACTAGATCAGACACATCTCCATTAGCTCTTAAAAAATCATATTCCAGATAAGTTCATTGGACTGTCACCTCTGTAAACAGAGATCATTGCATTTAAGAATAACACACTAAAGACGGTGAGTAATCACAGCAGTGCACCAAGCACTCGCATATCTGCAAGACAAATGAATGTCTACATGCACTATTTAACTGAATTTAAAGGGGACGAGCGTTTCTGGTGATGTGTTGCGTTAATTTAAAAAGTACTGGTCCCACAGAAGATATCTCCAACTATCCCACTGTTGCGTGCTGAGAGAATGGCATGATATATTAGGTAAGAATTAAGGTACCGTGGACACGTCACCAGTTTATCACAGCCTAACACAGAAAAGCAAAACTCAGGCTCACACCTGTGTTCAGTGCTGCCACATCACATGCAGCTAGCAAGACTGTTAGCTGCAGTAAGAAACCACAGAATCCAGAGGAAATCGCAAAACCAGCAGAAATCCAAGGAGGCACAGAGTCGATCAGCAGCTGTGGTCAACTTCAGTTTATCTCAGTCACATCAAAATGAGTCAAAGTGTCAAATGTGACTGTAAGTGCTGCATGTATACTTTCACAACCCGTAGCAGACATCCACAGTCGGATTCACCTGGATTCAAATCATAGATTTAAATCACATATTTACATTTTTTTCCTTTCATGTGTTTAAATTATGTTTTTGTTTCTATAAGTTTCGTCAGAATCACCAAAGCTGCATGACGGAGGAAACCACAGGAACAAATAAATAAAAACAATGTTACCTTTTTGGGTAAAACACAGATAATGTTGTGTGCTGTTAGTATGAGTCTGCAAATATGAAACTTTGTATCAAATGAGGAATTATGGCAGAATTTCATCTGGCAGGTTTTTGTGCATCAGTAAGAAATGGATGGAATGAGAAACTTACACACGTGATCGGTTTCGTCGGACTCATCGGGGCAGTCGGGCTCGCCGTCACAAAGCCAGTCCTCGGGGACGCAGGTGTCATGGTTGTGACAGTGAAATTCCCCTACGTCACACAAGATGTCTGGATGGCGTGAGCAGAGGGGTGGAGAAGGAGACAGAAGAGATGCAGCATGAGGTGATGGTACTGAGCAAACACATGCATGAGCGCATGTTTCAGCAGAAAACATGCGCTGGGTGTCAACACAACAGGAGTGAATGGAGACGACGTGACTTCTGTCACTTTCAGTGCAAATGCTTGTGTGCAGAGGCGTTGTTGCACGCAGAATTATCATCATCAATGCAGGAAGTCGAGAGAAACATATATAGAGTGTATGCACATCTTCGCTTACAATCAGCAGAGAGCTGTCCTTAAGTCAGCGCCATGTCGTCTGCAGACCGCGGTTCTTTATCAGAACAGGAGGCCACACATTTCTGTACAGGAAAAAAAAACTGGCACTGCCCAGGCATTGTGGTTTTGACAGCTACTCTGCTCTAACAAAGACGCGATGTCCTTCGTGACTTGGAAAACTATTACAAAGCAACTCGGCGAGTTTGTTCTTATCTTTTTGCCTTCTCGGTATTGTGTGGAGTTCAGTGAAAGCCCAGTCAACTAAAAAGTCATCACAGCCTTTTAATACAGCGAGCATCTATCAAAGCGTTGACATGCTTCCTGCCGGTAGCTGTCACAGACTCAGTTCGATCATACTGCAGAATGACACCAGCTTTCGCTAAAGATTTGACACCACAATATGACCTGCCGTTACTTCCCCTCAGCACAGAGCGAAAGCTGCAATTTGTTTCGAAGCTTAACCCACAGCCAATCAGACAGGCTCTAACTCCCCCTCCTGCTCGCTCGCTCCATCTTTTTCCCAGTGTGTTCCTAACCCATTAGTGGTGGGAGTGAAGCAAGTGGGGGATCAGGTCTGGAGCGTTTCAACAGTGGGAGTGATAATTCAACGCACTGCTGCCCCCGGCACCCTCCGGCAAATGCACCACCCAGGGACAAATCTGAAAAGGTCAAACATCTCATCCATTCCGCTCCTCGTATTCCCTCTGATGCAATATTTCAAATCTTACTATTTAAATCAAGGCCTTTTTTTTTTATATATGTGCAAAGTCCTTTTCTCAATTTTTAAAGGGGAACATTTTTAAGATTACACATGAAAGCACTTGAAACCTTAAACAAAGATAATAATTAAGATTCAGGTAAAAGGTAAGTCCAGGCAGCACATCGTCTTTATTTTGTCCTTCTGAGCTCAATATTTCTCAGCAGCACAAATAATTTCCATGTAAGCCGGTGTCACTGAGATTCTCTCAACATCATCAAATGAATTACATATTAGAGTCTTAGATGAACCACAGTTACACACACTTCCTGGTTTCTTTGGCTTTTCTTTTTCTCACTTACATTTTCAGATCATCAAACAATTTTCAAAATAGAGCTAACTCATGTAAATACAAAAATAAGTTTTTAAATGACAGTTTCGTGTATTAAGGGAAGAAAGCAGCAGTGGTGCGCGATACTGCTTATTCTGGTATCGATCCGATACCAGTAAATACGAGCTAGTATCACCGATATCGATACTTTTGTCATTGAATTGCTAAATCTCAAATCATTTTCATAACCTTAAGTGTTTTTATGATGTTTCCTTTTTTATTACTAAATAGTTAAAACCCAGGACATAATTAGGACAAAGACAAACAGCAAAATCAGCACCGAGGAAAGGGAAACAGAGAAAACATGTACACTCAAATTAGATAAATTTGGAGTTGGCGATACTGAATGAAGACTGAGATATTTCTGTGCTTTATGTTTTGTTTGTCTTATTTTTAAAAAATAGCAAATCTTTGGAGGGATAACAAAGTCAGGCTGGTTAGCAGATAGCTACAGAAATATCATAAAATTTTAAAAACGGGAAGAGTCAGTGAGCACAAGAATGTTGCATAATATTCAGCTTTTAAAAATCAGCTGAAGCCATTTTTATACAGGCAAGCTTTTGATTAATTTGTTGTTTTTATGTTGTATTTTACTGTTTTACATTGTTATTTGTTGTATTTACATTCTTTTCATTTGGCATTTTCTTTGTTGTAAAGCATACAACAAAGAAAATGCCAGTAAGTAAAATACATTTTACTTACTTAATTATTTTTTTTTAGAAAAATCTGAAATAAAATAAATAAATAAAAAGCAAACCAGTAAACAATCTAAAACAAACAAGAACTGTTGACAAACTATAATACAAAAATTACAATTAAAATTCTCAACAACAAAAACAACAACTGATGAAAATATAAATAATATCTAAACAACTTAAC